TACCTTGTCATGCTCTTTCAGGTGAAGATAGCAAGCAGCCATATTTCTGTGCAGTTTAGCCAGATTCTGATAGTCTACTTGCCCTGAGGAGTAGAAGCTGAGGGAATAGTTGTACCATTGAAGAGCTTCAGAATAGCTTTTTGCCTATAAAGTAATCAAATATATCTTAATCCTACTGATTTATGTTTGCCCTCAGCAGTTCCTGTGCTTTGAACAAGCATGCAGCTATTGAAAGGAAGAACAAACAAGTAATTTACTCAAGCAAGGAGAAGGAATCTTAAGGTTTTCATCTATGTTAACTGAAATTATTTTCGTTTAAAAACAACTGTAAGAGTGGCAGGTCTCTAGAGCCAGGCATAAAGTCTTCAGAATTGACAGGTACAGCATATTGTGAGCCTAAATTAGTCACATGAAAATATTAGCTTGTTCACATGTCATTTTCATGAGTAGAGAAAATATGAAGTGATAATTGATTGAGAGCATTTAATTCATAATGCTGTCATTCTGAAATACGGCTTCTCAGTTTGCAGACTTTTATAGATATTTTATCAGGGCTGCATAGCAATCTTTCCCCAAACTCTTTCCTATGTAGAAAAACAGGTAACTGCACCTTAAAAATAATGATATATGGTCCTTGAAACTATGAAGATTGAGGGAAAACTCAAGTATTAGGCTGCTTTTGATTTAATTTTATAACAGTTCAGTTTTGCTAAGCCTATGTCTGTAGCACTTTGTTAGATTATGGCTTTAGATTCTCAAAACACTGGCAATAGCCTAGGGGGTGACTATCAACAAAAGCACACAGTATACAACTGACATATTGCCTGCTCTCATTTTGCGCACACAGGCACACACACAACACTTGTACTACATGTGTTAGGTAATAAAAATAAGAGACAAAACTTCACAGGGCCCCAAACCTCATAATTCTTAGCAGCTTTGTCCCACAGAACAAGGTGCAGGTGGTTCAGTGTTTCAGAAGGCAGCTGTTTTCCTTTGTTGTGTCCTGAGGAGATATAATTCAGCGTTTTACAAGTTCTACAGAGCTGGGGCATCAAATCTATTTGTACGCAGCAAGCCTGCAAGCAGAATTAGATATGTCTACAACAGTTGTTGTTAATCTAGACAGTCACTTTAAGCATATCTACTGCAAATACTGAAAATTTACGAAGCCAAGACACAATGGTCCAAAACACACTGCAGAAATAGTGCAGTTTGAGACCGCTTTAACTGTCCTGGCTCAGTGCTAGGGAATCCTAGGAATTGTAGTTTATTGTGGGACCACAGCTCTCTGACAGAGAAGGCTAAATATCTCACAAAGGTACCATCCCAGAATTCCTAGCAGTGAGCCAGGTCTCAAAATGGATTATTTTGCAGTGTTTTGGATCAATGTCTATCTTTTAAAAGTACATTGAAAAAGCTGGAGACTCATGGAATGCCCAATTCAAATCAGTTTAAGCCAAGTTAACTGCCCTTGTTATTTTCATTGAAGCAAGCTTGTTTAGAATAATTATAAAAGCACTCAGGCTTTTATAGTTGTGATTAGACGACCACAGACAGAAAGGTTTTAAATGCTGGGACCCACACACTTTATAGCTAAAGTTTCAGTTTGAAACAGGTGTCCCAAAATTTTCTAAACATCTTTGAAATGATTGTAAAGCAGCATCAAGAGAAGCTGGGCACAGACCTGCGAGAATGTCTTCAATCATTTTTTTGGCAGGTGGATCCTTCATTTTCTGTAAGAGGAGTTTGATGTGAAGGAGAATGACTTTGCCAACATCTGGAGAGTCCCCAAACAGCTGAGCAACTGACTTCAGAAAGTCAAAGCCTATGGCCTCCCTGAATATACAAAGAGTAAATGAAAATTGATTGGGTATATCCCTGGCATCAAGAAAAGCACATGGTGTTCCACCTAGCCAGGACAATTAGGAAACAAAATTTTAGCCACTGTCCATTTCACACCAAAAACTGAGTAGTTGGTTAGATTCAAAAGGAATCTAACCAACTACTCAGGGCACATCCACTGCACTCATACTATGTGCTAAGGTCTGTGGCTGCTCAGTCTGCTTGCCAAAATATAAGATTCCTGTTAGTAATGTACATGTGTGTGACTCAGGGTTATGTGCACTTGTGTCTTTTTTTTTGGACAACATGCCAGGAACTATTCACCAGCTCCTAGCACAACATCCAAAAACACCTCCCAAGGTCTGCACTTTTAAATGGTAAGGAATTAATATCTGTTGCCCTTTATTTTCTTTTATTCTCACCCAGCGGTCACTCTTGTACTTGCTGTCTTAAGCAGTTGTACTTCTCCACAGATTTTCTACATCAGCATGGTCATAAGCCCCATGCTCAGCCTATTCTTCCCTCTTCTTGTTTTTCAATTCTGCCCAACATGATTGCAAGTACAGTTTCAGAAAAGGGACAAAAGAAGTGGAATTTGTTGAAGAGCCATAGTCATCAGACTGAAATAGACTTCCTTGGTCCTCTTTAGCTGCTGTTTCTCATTAACAAAAAACCCCTACTACTTTTTCAAAAAGGCACCTTAGGTCTCAGTACCTCTCATGTTCCAGAAGCAGCTTTGCCGTGTCCAGGTAAATATCCAGAGAAAACTTGTGATGTAGGAGTTCTGTAACAGCTAGAGAGCAGAAAAATCAGCAAATTTATTGTGCCACTGAAAGATAAAATAAAATTCTAAATTTCCCCTGTACCCACTACGCAACTAGGAGTCTGTTCAGGCATTAATTTCTGAGTGTTAGAGAAAGGTCCCAAAAGGATGAGATAGGGTTAGAGCTCACTTATGGCCTGTGATGGACTTTGAGATTATACTGATGAAAATGCATATATTCAGCCCCATCCTATGGTAGTGGAATAGAGGACAAGATGAATTTACATCAGTGACCATGGACTCAGAATATGAAATAAATATGTTTTCACTAATTTACATTCATTTCCTCCACTAAGAATGCACAGTATGAAATGAAGCTCCCCCTGCTGCCTCTCTGCTCCGCTCTGGGGCTACAACAAACTACAATTCCCAGAATTCCTTAGCATTAAGCCATGGCAGTTCAAACAGTGTTAAACCGGATCATTTCTGCTGTGTGGATGTAGCCATATGATGTTGCATACACCCTATTCTGAACCAAGCACAGTACCTGTGCCAACATCTTCATCTGATGTACCACCTTTCAGGAGAATTTTAATTTTCAGTAAGAAACCTGCTGGATGCAAATTCTCCTGTAAATCAAGAAATCAAGACATTATTTTGACAGCCCAACTATTTTTTACCAGTTTCAGGATATTTTTAACTGGCGGCTGACATAACTCAGTCTATTCATAACTCTGAAGGGATGTCAAGAGCTTCTAATCACTACTCCTCATAATATATATTCCAAATCATCTTCTAGAATAATTTTAAACATCCTGAGGAACAAGTCACTTGGTGATGCCAGATTGTCTATTTGGAATTCTTCTCCTAGAACATTGAAATTCTAATTCTTTTTGCTCAGCAGCTTCATAAAGACAGCAGGGGAAGATAAACTGAAATTTGAGTTTCCTCCTGTGACACAGCTTTATTAGACAGCACAGTCTTCAAGAATGTCAATTGCCTAAACTACTTAACATCATTCAAATGGGTGAAAAATCCTATTTTCTGCAATCTTTTTTCGCATCAGCTTTTCTCTTGTAAAAAACAAAGAGAAAAAAATCCTCATCCTTTTCCACTACCCTTTCACTGCCCATAATCCAGAGGAGAAACAGGAAATGAAGGAAGCCCTTCATTCTTACAGAAACATAAGAGCTATTTAAATTCTTTTTATATCTTCCTTCTTATATTGTTCAATACTAACATCTGCAATTTGTTAATTCGATAATCTCCATTGTTTCTGTAGTAAGTCTGTAGACAGCAAAATGTGGCTACAGCATGAACTGCTCTGTCAGTCCATGTCTTTTAAACAACAGGTAACTAGTTCCATCACCTCATTAGCCATCATGACAGCTCTGAGAGCTTTATCTTGGTATTGTTGGTAGTCCCACTCCAGGTAAACAGTAGCTAGTAACCGCAGCACTTTAGCCTGCAGATGAAAACAAGTGGATATTTAAATTTTAAATCCTGACAGAAATTACAAAATTACAGAACTTGATTGTAATGGCTGCAAAGATTTCACACCTGCATTTCTTTTCCAGTTGAATATTTCATATCCATCTTCCCAATTTCATAGCTCTGACTATTGAAGAGGGGAAAAATGAAGCAAAATGTATGATGATCATTAAAAGGACAGACAAGATTAACTGAACTAATTAAGAACAAAATTCTTACAAAGAGTGATAGATGGCTCCCATGTTAGCAGGGCAGTGAATCCAGTAAATAATAATAATAATAATAATAATAATAATAATAATAATAATAATAATAATTTAATCCTGCCCCTTTGCAGAGCAATCAGGGCGGCTTACAACATTAAAATTTACATTAAATAAGGAAATAAATTCAAGTTTTGTTGCTAACTTTAAAGGAGCTGTTAACAGAGCTCCTGGAAAACCTGGATTCACCATCCAACTGAGGGCACATCCAGAAGGCTTCAAAAGTTCCAGATTTTGTTCCTGTTTTTCTGATTTTATACTGGGTTAAAATTACTCTGGGGAGCTGCTATAAAAAGTCTCTTTATCATACCAGGAGCTGACATTTTGGGATAAGAAGGGTTATGGTGCTCTTCTTTATTCCAGAAAGAAAGGCATGATGCACCTCTAGTGGAAACCAATTATAAAGCCAGTCTAACTAAAGTTGATGTACACATATAATTAAATCCCAATCCATGCTTTCTTTAAGAAGAACAAATGTTGGGTCAGGACAATTGATAGAGAAGCAGCAGCAAGTGGGAGGGATTGGTAAATCCTTTCACTGATAAAAAGCAATCAAACTACACAAACCGGACCCTTTCTCTCCAAATGTATTTTAATGCCACAAGTGAAAAGGCCTTTGCTATATTAAAATTATGGGAGCCAGAGTGGTGTAGTGGTTTGAGTATTGGACTATGACTCTGGAAACTAGGGTTCAAATCCTGGCTTGGCCATAGAAACCCACTGGGTGACCTTGGGCAAGTCACACTCTCTCAGCCTCAGAGGATGGTGATGACAAACCCCTTCTGAAGAAACTTGCCAAGACGACCCTTGAAAGGGTCGCCTTAGGGTCGCCATAAATTGGAAATGACTTGAAGTCACACAACAATATTAAAATAATAGGATATTACAGTTTTCATAGAGAGTGTTTCAGCAGCTAGAAGAAACTTCAAGACACTAGATGGTGCCAAAGCACTTGATTCAGACAGAGTATTTTTGCAACTATCAAGCATACTTTCCAAGACCTGAAAGGCGTAGATTATTTTTTCAGGTATCAGACAGACTTTCCAAGATCTGAAAGGCTTAGCCATTCTATCTACTGTATATTCCACGGTGTAAGATAAAGTAATAAGTCCATTAATGGTTCTGTTTTCTCATGACCTTACCTGAGCCAAAAAGAGCTCTGTTCATATTTCTTCATTTCATATGTTTCTACACCAAAGTTATAGCATAGAAGGGAAAGGTAACAGGCCTGTAATTAAATAAGAGAAATGTGTATCATGCTCATGTACTGTTATGTTTTTTTAATGCTAGAAATGGAAGCAGACACACTGAATTTTCCATCATTTTCAGTGAAGCACCACTGAGCTGGATCAGGGTAAAAATCCATTTCAAACCTTTCAAGACAATTTCATGGTTACTAACCTCTTTCGGCAGCCTCATCAGGATGTCTTTGCATCGCTGAACACATGTGACTGCCTTCTGAAAACCCCCTTGAGCAACTGCCTGAGAAAGCAATTAAATATGCCAGTTAATGTTGCTACCAGGACAGTTATAAGTTAATGTTTACAAATTTTAAAATTGGCAATATATGATATTTGATTTGTAATGTAATATAAGTAAAGTGTACGAAGGTAAGGTAAAGAGTTTATTATTGAATAATGGAAAGATATGGGTCTACAGGAGAACTCAGGAAGCCATATTTATGTTGGGTGAGAGTATGTTGGTTTTGGAGTGTTTTATTTTATTTTGTTATGATGGTAGTTGTTGCCACTGTTTGTGGTGGTAGTAGTTGTCTTGTTGCATTGTTTTGTATTGTAATGTATCGTATTGTTTTGTAATGTACAGAGATGATTTAATGCTGTATAGTTTTTAATGAATGAATTTACATATATATATATATTCTAGCAAACCAGATTTCTCTTAAAAGGGGTATGCCAGTTTTTGTAGAAATATGGGAAGTCACTTCTATGAACATGAAAAGCCAGTGGAGAAAAGAACAAGAAGATGGGCATTGCCCTGACACTGCTGCAGTGATTTGACATATATTTTGTACCAACATACCGATTCAGCCTGATAAGAGAGAACTTTGAATACATCCTTCTCTACATCAGCTTTGTGTGTGTGAATATCAGTCTCACTCATGCTCCTCTTGGTTAGCTGGGCATACAGTTTCTCCAGAGTCTGCAAAATAAAGTTCACACAGTATGCCTTAAAACCACAGAAACATCCATGCATTTTTTAAAAAAAAAACCAAGCTCATGCA